TATAAGATAAGAACACAAAGATTATGGAAACTTTGGAATAATGCATATTCAGAAACTCGATCACGAAAGGGTTTAAATAAACATGTTTAAGAAGAAAGATGATGGCTGTAAGCAGAACAGTGAAATATGTTAATGGTTATAAACAGAACAGTGAAATATGTTAATGATTATAAACAGAACAGTGAAATATGTTAATGTTTATATACAGAACAGTGAAATATGTTAATGTTTATAAACAGAACAGTGAAATATGTTAATGTTTATAAACAGAACAATGAAATATGTTAATGTTTATAAACAGAATAGTGAAATATGTTAATGTTTATAAACAGAACAATGAAATATGTTAATGGTTATAAACAGAACAATGAAATATGTTAATGTTTATAAACAGAACAGTGAAATATGTTAATGTTTATAAACAGAACAGTGAAATATGTTAATGTTTATAAACAGAACAATGAAATATGTTAATGGCTGTAAATAGAACAGTGAAAAATGTTAATGGTTATAAACAGAACAGTGAAATGTGTTAATGGTTATAAACAGAACAATGAAATATGTTAATGGCTGTAAATAGAATAGTAAAATATGTTAATGGTTATAAACAGAACAATGAAATATGTTAATGTTTATAAACAGAACAGTGAAATATGTTAATGTTTATAAACAGAACAGTGAAATATGTTAATGTTTATAAACAGAACAGTGAAATATGTTAATGTTTATAAACAGAACATTGAAATATGTTAATGTTTGTAAATAGAACTCCAGAAGACAGCGATGATACACGTAGGGTGTTTTTAAGTGGAAGCTATTGATGGTTAAAATAAACATATTTTAATTGTGTAAATATGAAACGTTTTATTTTAATTATTTATTAGATTTTACATATTACACAAAAGCCAATCATTCATATCAGTCAGTCTGGTTATCAAGAAAACTCTTTAAACTAATCATTCATATCAGTCAGTCTGGTTATCAAGAAAACTCTTTAAACTAATCATTCATATCAGTCAGTCTGGTTATCAAGGAAACTCTTTAAACTAATCATTAATATCAGTCAGTCTGGTTATCAAGGAAACTCTTTAAACTAATCATTAATATCAGTCAGTCTGGTTATCAAGGAAACTCTTTAAACTAAT